ATTTCTTTCTAATTTTAGTAGAGGCGGGGTCTCGCTCTTGCTCAGGCTGGTCTCGAACTCCTGAGCTCAAACAATCCGCCCGCCTCGGCCTCCCAGTCACTTTACTGTTTTGACTGTCGGAAGAATAGGACCAAGTGCTGTGGGATCACAGATGAAAGTTCAATTAATTCTACTGGGGGAAGAGTAGGGCAAGAAGTATTTGAGCAGGGTGTTGAAAGATAGAGTTTTGCAGGAGAATTGGGTGAAGTATTTCAGTGGTGCAGGGGCATGAAGGCAGGTGGTACAGACATAAATACAGTATGACACGCTTTGAATATAGGGTGAACAGGGATATGGCAGAAATGTAACAAGAAAGGAGGCTTCCTTTGGGTGTGGATGGTGCCTGAGTTCTTTTTTGTTTTGAGAAGTTGGAGGAGCACTGCTTGTACCAATTTATATCCCCACCCAGGAGCGAGTGAAGAGTGTCCAGTTTTACACATTCCTAACAACCCTGGATATCATCAATCTTTATTTGTGTTTCTTCACTGTATTTCTGATTTACGTCTTTTACCAGTTTTTCTGTTGGGCTGTTTATCATTTTCTTCTGTTTTGTGAAAGTATTTGTTTATTAGGGATATTAATTATTTTGAGACTATTTTATCTTTAAATTTTTTGTTTATTCCCTAGAAATTTTTCATTTTATAGTTTCCCAAAATTCTACTCCAGTACAATTTACATACTTTTTGCTAACCCAACAAGCCTAGTACGAGAAATAGACACACTTTAAAAAAACTATTTAGAAGCAGATGATTTTTTTCATGTCTGGCAATGAGTTATTTAGTAGCTTGATGAGAATCACAGTATTCATAGTTTTAGTTATACCTTTGTTTTTTAATGTACTGACTGTAATATACTAAAAAATAGTTTTCTCATGGGTAGTTTTTAAAAATCAGGATCTGCGGTAGGGTAGAGGGGGACGCGCTGGCTTCTGTCTTCTCTTTGTCATTCTGGGTCTCCCCACTGCCCAGCACATCCTGTATTTGCCAGCAGC